TGAATTTCTTTGGATCTCGGCATGATGTCTAGCTTTTGAGGATCTTTTGGTCTACTTCACTTTGTCAGGCAGGTCCTATTTAAGTGATTTCTTGATTGCGAACAGGTGTGGCAAGAGAAATTGAACTCAGGTGCGATAAACCAGTGTTTTGACAGGGGGGCAAACACTTGTTCACACAGGGCTCTATAGTTTTGGATTTTGTTTTCCCTTAATAATAAAAACCTTCATTTAAAAACTGCATGATGTGTTTACTTGTGTTATCTTTGACTAATATATAAATTTGTTTGACGATCTGAAACATTACAGTGTGACAAACATGCAAAAAGATAAGAAATCAGTAAGGGGGCAAACACTTTTTCACACCACTGTATATAAGAGAGATGATTCTTGATGCAGTGACGTCTGAGGGATCAGAGTACAAAAAGTGGCAGAATTGAAGTGAGTGTTTATTTTGAACAAAGAATAAAATTGATGAGGTGGAACAACAGAGCGCCAGCAGACCTGGGATCAGCAGACCTCCAGGCTGTTAGTTGAACGTGCTTGAATACATAAAAAAATACATAAAAGTTGTGCAATGAATGTAACCAATGTAATGAATTATAGTAACTGTTTACTCCAATAATCAAGTCAAGTAATATCAAAAATGTTAAACACTAGTTTGCCGTGTTACTATAATGAAACGACAGTTAAGACTGTGTTTCTATAAGAATGTCTCTGTGTCTGACATACTTTCTGCCTCTCTCTGTCTACCCACTAGAGCAGCGGTCCCCAACCTTCTTCGTACCACGGACCGGTTTCATGCATGAAAATGTTTCCGCGGAACGGGTAGAGGCACGGGGGTTCCAATAACAAAAACCTTTGTCAATTCATGTAATCTGAATGCAACAATTACACTTTATATTAGGCAATTACAATAATTCTACACTATATCAACTCACCATAAGGCAGAGTCAGTGGGAGCCCAGGGGTTGTTTCCTTGCAACAAGATGGTCCCATCTAGGGCTGATGGGAGACAATGACACATGCAATGTGTTCCTTATGTCCAGTCTGCTCCGTAATTTTGTCTTGGTTGCTGTCACTGCAGAAAAGCCCGCTTCACAAAGATAGGATGTTGGAAATGGTAGCAGGGTTTTCAGTGCCCTTGTGAGATTTCAGGATATTCTGGTTTGATTTTCATCCAGAACATCGGCAGAGTTGTTGTCTCAAACGTACGTTTAAGGTCACCATCATTTGCGATCTCCAGCAGCTGATCCTCTTGTTGCACAGACATGCAGAGCAGCCTTGGTGCGTGAGAGTCACCTGTTGCAATAAACCCGTATTTTAAGTATGACTCCTGATATTGTCTGTTAAAAGAAGCTTTCTTTTTCTTGGAGGTCGTGGGCTCCTCTTCTGGCTCCTCAGTTGGCCTTTTCCCCTTTGAAAAGAAGCCCTTCAAAGACGTTTGTTTTTTACTCATTTTTGCTAGTTGGCAGGCTTTTTTTTTTTAAGCAACGTATCACGTGACGTCGTGACCGACACATGCGTCTTGACGTGTCAAGGGGCACAGGTGGATGATACGTCGTTTATCATAATAAAACATCTTCCAGACTCCAAAAATCAATGCAATGGAAATTATATAAATTATTTATTCTTTCTGTGCGGCCCGGTAACAAATACCTCACGGACCGGTACCGGGCCACGGCCCGGTGGTTGGGGACCACTGCACTAGAGGATTTGTTGGAAAAAATCCTGCAGTATTAGAGTTGTGTAGATACAGGTTCATGGGATTTCTACCGCTGGCTTCAGCTGCACCACTGTTTTGACAGTGTGGTCAGTGTAATGCCTCACTGGGATTTAGAGGGCTGGGGTGGTTTAGTTTAGAAATAAAATGGATCAGGCCTTTATAAACACAAAACCTTTTGAATTACTAACCTCTGTGCTGTATGTGCATGGAGATGACGCCTGCACAGACACCCAGAGCAGTCCTGCACAGCTGGCCAAATAAAGATCACTCTCACTGTATTAGGAGACACAAGGGGTTGAGTCCTAATGGTTCCTTTAGAAAGGACACATGTGAAGTTGCCTGTTATCTTAGTCTTGCAGTGCAAGAGGAATAGATTAAAGTGACAGGTGGCTTGATAATCAGGCCAATCCCATCTCCTGCTCTCCAGCTAATCATAGAGCATCACTCAGTGAGCACGTTTGTGTCCATTAATTTCATCACCAAGCTATCTTGTTCTCTGTTTGCACACCATCACCGTGAATAGAGCAAAGGGTAGTTTGAGGAATCTTCCAAATGTAGCAGAGTGGAGACAAAATCTACGTTGATCCTCCTCTCAGCTTAGTCTGAAATCCATCAAGCACATGTACAGTAGCCATACTGTGACATTCAGGCCAAGAAATGGTAGCTGCTTCTTCACCTTGCTGTGTGTGTGTGTGTCTGAGAGGCAATGAACAGACACCGAAACACAGGATAGGGAATAGAAAGAGGGTGAGCAACAGAGAGAGAGAGAGAGAGAGAGATTTCATCTCCTCTCTTGCCTGTATACATATCTGCTAGAATGTAGGTCAGGCAGCCCCAGTCACTCTCAGAGCCTGGGAGAGGGAGATTGCTGTGTGTCTGTGCATTTGCATACACATCATATGAATAAAGCATGTGTTTCACTTGCATCTGTGCTTATATTTGTTTGTGCCCCCTTGTCCTTATGTGCCTCCTGTGTGTTTCAGTATATGAAGATTCTGTGTGTGTCTAAAATACCAGTATGGATCATAAAAAGTCACAGTAGACATAACATCCCACTTTCCCCGATACTGCTGTGGACATTACCACACAATAGGGTATTCATTACAGCTGTGTGTGTGTATGTGCCAAACCAGCCAGTTTTCCCAGGCTATTTACAGCGTGTACCCTGGCTTTGATAGATATAGGAGTCCAGTAAAGGGCAGGCATGGTTGCCTCCTTTTCTCCAAGGAATATACTGTGAGAAAATCACACAACCACAAACACACACATGCACACCTGTGGACTCTGACTTAAGAAGTCTACCAGTCCTTGGCCATGTGTTCTTATTTTGTAACAGAGGGGTAGAATAATGTTTGTGCACATGTGTTTTATTAATGTCTGTATATATGTAAGACTTAAAACTATGTGTGTGCATTGTGGGGACCTGTTGACACATTCTTGTTGTGGGGTCTCAGCCTTCCTCCTGGGGACTAGAGGGCAGTCCCCACCATGAAAATCACTGAATTTGATGGTGACCGCATGGTGTAAGGTTAGGGTGAGGGTTAGGCAAATAATGGTTATGATTAGGATAAGTCTCTAGGAAATGAATGTAAGTCAATGTAAAGTCCTCACAAGGAATGTAAAGGTGTGTGTGTGCTCTCATTGCGCTCAGGCTTATTCTTCTTTTGCTGTGCCGTCACTGTCCTTAGTGCTGAAACTAGGCGCCTAGTACCCCGACTGTTGTGTTGTTATATTGTATCTTTCTCCATTTGTCTTGCCTTCTTTCTGTCTTTCTTGCCCCCACCCACTTTTTTTAGCACACACACACACACATCTCTGGGGGATTGTGGGCTGTGTCCTGATGAGCACTCAGAGAGCTATGATTTGTCATCAGCCTCCACATGAAGACCTTCATCAGAGGACAGACCCATCACTTACACTCTGATTATAATGACCAAGGGGCCAGGGATGATCATGTGTGTGTTTGGGGGGGTTGCTTCCATTTTATGGAGCAGTAGCGGGTGGAATTATGGCACAAACTTGTCAGAAATCATTTATTGTATGTTGTCAAATACAGTGAAAAGCCATAGGAGTGCAGAGTTACCCATTTTTACATATGCTGTGTACCAACTACCCAAGCCCAAATTCATTATGCCATTTTTTCTGAATAAAAATGCTTTCGAGGTGCACCAGTGGCTATAATCAAATACAGCCAGGCCTTTGACGGCGTTTTGAAAAAACCCCAAAAGACGACAGGGCTGTAGTCGTAAAATGAAAATATAGTTTGAGTGGGCCATTGTTTCACATTAGGGTTTTATGTTAATGGCTGTTTTCTAAGATGTTTGCGCTATCGCCTTACAACTCACTCACAGTGTTTTCAGCTTGGCCATGCTTGTTATTCACACTACAAGGAAGTGGACAAAAAAAGGTGGAAAGCAGACGCATGTGTGTGATAAAGGAAGGGTAGAAAAAGACCTCCTGCTGGTTCAAAGTAAAGTCCACTTATGCACCTAACCACCACTTCTCCTTTTACATAACACACAACAGGCACTGTGTACGCTCACAGTATGCCTATGGTTGTGTTTGTCCTGAGGGACCAGCTATTGTTGTGATTTAAGCTGCTTTGAGACAGGTTGGGAATGACTGTGGTGTGTGTGCATAAGTGTGTGTGTGTGTGCCAGTTATGGGCCGTCTGGTAGGCTCCCCATGGGGGCCTTCATTCTTTGTGATGGTCCCTATACACCACCAGCACCTCATCTGTTCTCTCCCATACATTCTCTCAATTAGCAGTGCCGGATGGAAAGAAACAAAGACAGGCAGAGTCCTGAGTGCACGTGTTTACTCAGACCTTCTCTTTTTCTTTCTGTCTTTATCTCTTTCTGTTATTTCACCTTTTTTGACAAAGTGGGACGTCGACCCCTTTACTCACTCCTGTCTTCCTCTGGTCTCCCTCCCCTTTTTTCTCTTCCTCCAGCTCAGCGAAGGATGGAGAGCTGAGGAGAGAAATCATGGAGGCAGGCACGGATCATTAGCTATATTTGTCCCTACTTCCTGCAGAAGATGATAGATCTAGCTAATTACCCCATGTTGCCAAGCCTATCGCACACAACAAGCAGCCGTCGTTATGGCAGAAATGAACGTTCGCTTTGGCATGTGCCGCATAACTGATGCTATTTGACTATTCATGAAGTCAGAGGAGAAGAGGAAATTTCAGATCCTGTTATGGTTGTGTGTGAAAGTGATTGTTCTGCAAATGATTTTAATGATTCATGTTCTCCGTCTTCTTCACTCTGTGTAGAAAATGAGTTTGGAGGAGATGTGGTGAGCCGTTCTTCTCCAGCTGAACATCAGTAGGTCACAGTGGAAGCAGAGGTCTGGACCAAAGAGCTGTCTCAACCGCGAACCATTTCAGGTAGCTTGATACATTCACTCTTTGGAGCTAATACGGCTCAAAAGTGTTATTTTCTGTTGGGTCATCTTTGCATCTTTCTGGTTTTGATGCAGATTTGCATCTCAAATCTAAACTGTACTATTTTTATTGGCTCTTTTTCATAATGTTGTATTAATTTCTAAAATCTAAACAGACAGCATCAGTATCAAAACCACGCTGCCTGATGCACTAACAAAATAAAACAGAAAGATTAAATAAGGGGGAGTCAGAAGTCAAATTTCAACTACTTCTTCTTTGGCTGAAGGAGAGGGCCAGTAGTTTTGTCTTAATTACTGGTAAAGGCCCTAGTCAGAGGTTTCCATGGCATGCATCTTTGGTAATGTGGAGTCAATTTTTTAATAAATTAAATATGATCATCACTTTTCTCTTGGTCATTTAAATTTTAGAAGACATGAACTAATACAAACTAGTTTTTAACTGACTTCTGAATCAGGGAAAATGCAGTTTTCAATGATATAATGTTTAGATTTAAGACAAAGGTGAATAGAATCAAAATATATGAAGAAAAAAGAAGTGTCCAACCTCACACCCATTGACTAGCTGTCATTCTTTTGAAGTACACCTCTGTTCAAATCCTGTGGCAGCTACCTGTCATTACCAGAGCAGCTGAAAACCTGGTTGTAGTTCTCAGTTCTTCCCACTCTGACCATTTTGCTCCAACCCACCAAAACCATTTGCCATACTAGTTAGGAATCACTCCCCAGTCACTTTCTCACTCTGACAGTCGCGCTCTCTCTCTCTCTCTCTCTGTCAGCACCCACTCGGATGCTATCTCCACAGCCCTTCACACTAATTCAGATGCACTTAGCATCGGTTTGGCACACATGTTTACTGTCACCAGATGATGCATGGCGTAAATACCTATTTGCGGTGAAATTCGATAAAGCACCACAGTTTCGGTGGCTCCCTACTGCTACACTGTACAGAATACCAATCTGAGTGTGTGTACAGTATGCATGTGTGGCAGAGGGTGGGGTTGGGCACCATATGTCTGAAGCACATTCTCCCAAAACTTCAAGGTGAAAACAAAGGGAAACTGATAGCGATGTGAATTGTTGTGACAGATGTTTGAGCACCCCCATCCTCCTTTCACCACCACCATAATGATAAACACACACACACACACACACACACACACGTACGAAATACTTGTTCTGTTCCACAGTGCATGTTACAATCATCGCTGTGTCTCTTATCATGTTTCACTCCCAGTAATATCCCGATTCTTCTCTATCAAACAGCAAAAATCCTCTTCTTGTTTCTCTCCAATTTATCTGTGCATGATATCATTCCTGTGTCCTATAGAATGAATGCATACTAGTAGCATTTAGCCACTTTAATTTTCACAGAAGTTCATTTACATATTATTTTCATATTGAAGCCAGCTGTAGAATCAATCCCAACATAAGTACATGCAGCATTTGGACAGCTGCTTTTAGCAATATGTGAGCTGAATTAAAAAAAAGTGCATTCCACATTCTGTTCACACCATGCATATATTTCCAAAGGAGGCCAGTTTTCTATAAGAACTTATTTTGTGTGGAATTAAACACTTGCATTTAAAGGCATAAATGGTGTGCAATTGAAATGGGATGCAGCCTTCAGTCATTTCATCCCAGGCCTTGTGTATTCTGAAAGTAAATAAACTCCTTCCACAATATGCTGCATAATATGCCACATGGATTAAAATTCATGGGCGCGAGTCATATGGGAACATGGAAAGAACTTCTGTCTACACATTCACAGGCAAAGGATGGTAAATGGGAATCTGAAGTACAACAGGACATTTACTTAATTACCTAAGGGCTTATTCTTGGTTTTGAAAACTGAACCCCGGTGGAGGTCATGTGTGAAATGAAATGGTGCACCTCCACATTAACATTATGTTTGTGCAGTAAAACAATTCATGAAAAGTTGCCTCTTTTTATTGGTATGATCCTTAAAATGTCTCAAAGTGATGTCACTGAATGACAGAACTATTATTATCATTGTTATTTATTTAAGTTGTAGATCCCACTTATAAATGCTATTAATATTGAATGATTAGAAATAAGCAAAAAAAAAAAAATCATGCACGTATTAAAATCAAAGCACGTCCTTTTCCTTGTATTGTGAAAACTCTGTTTTCAAATAAGAAAAGCCCCATTTTTGACTCAAATTCAAAGGTAACAAGGAACAATTAATTCTTCATATTCATTATTACTTCACTACATTTGGAGATACAGGGTTTTCACTGGACAGTAACACTGTAAAGTTCTATAACACACCGACTCATTTGAATTCTTGTTAAAACTGCTGGTTGTGTTGAAGCAGGAGAATATGCAGAATTTTCTCTGGAGTTTGCGTCATCATGTGCTTGTTTAGCTGGCCTCCACGCTGAGGCTTGAATCACCACGACTCTGTGGGTGCTGGTCTGGGCCAATAATGCCATTAATTCAGGGTGTAATTGAGACACAGACAGACAAGGGGTGGGCCCTCTCCTAATCCTCAATAAACAGGCCAACCTTCATTACTGCTGTGACATTTTCCCATGGGGTGCTAAGACAGACAAAAAGCCAGACAGAATATGCAGGCCTTGCCAACATATGCCGAGCCACAGAGACGTGCATGCTTCCTGGGTCCAACTCTCCTGAGGAACCTTTAGGGAAGGAAGCAGAGGCGACAAGACTTACATAGCTGCTGCCCTTACTGTTGCTGTTGTTTGATTCTGCTGCTGCATTGGCTTGTTGTTGATGCTCCGTTCAGTGCTGATGCAGGACTCGCTTAAAACCGGGGCCCTCAGAGAGAGTCTGACAGCTTCAGATAGGCACTGGTAGTGTGTGTGTGTGTGTGTGTGTGTGTGTGTGTGTGTGTGTGTGTGTGTGTATACTATATGTGTACATGCATTTAAACAAGGAGGGCTCATATTTTAGTCACAGTGGATATTTTTCTTTCAACAGGGGAACATTCTGCAAGCAGGTGACTTTTCATCTTGTTTTCAATACTTCATTAATTTTATTTTCCGGCCATTAACCAGGTAGCACAGGTTAAAGAAAGTTCTTCAAAGAGATTCTTTTTATACATCTAGTTACCATATACTGTATGCATATGGTTGGTTCCCAGAACGCAGCTCTAAAAGCTGCAGTTAATGCAAATGCTGTTTGTGCTGTTGGCAGATTTTTGCATTTTTAATAGCAGAAAAAGCCACTTGTTTAGAAAGGAGGTGGAGGTTAACAGGAGGAGTACCTGCCAAAGAAATGAGCACCACCTACAGAACCTCAATCTTTAAAATGAATCTACTGTGGTACTGTGATGTGTGGGATTGCAGGTCTGTGTATTTCAACTCAAAAATGGCAGCAATGAGTACATAAACACTAAAATAGAGGGGAAAAAAGATAAACAGAAACATCCCAAACAGATTTAAAAATGAATTTGAAAATAAATTCATTATTCCAGGTATACTACTGTGTGTTTGTGAATGTATGAAACCAGTGAGCTCTTGTCAAGCTAACAAGTCAGTTACTGCATCCAAGAAGACAGATGTTTAGGTCTAATAATAGAGCCAATGTGCTGTGAGGAGCTCTACATATGCAACCTGATTTTTCTTGTACTTTGAAGTGGATTGCACACATTGAAGGGACTCTATCACTCCTGCTCACAGCGCAGATTGTTCTAGCTTTGATAATAATGTTGTGCCTGATGAGAGTCTCAGAGAGAGGGGACCAACTCCACTTTGCTCACGCGACTACTTCAGAAACATTCAGGGTCTCACACACACGCACACACACACACACACATACAGTATTCTCAGCCTCTTGTCTGCCTGAGTGCCTAAAGGGGGAGATGAGAGAACCAAGTTATTTTCACTTTTCATTTCTTTTTTTCCCAGGGAACGTGGTTTTCTCCCATTCCTGCACACATACACACCCACACAATGCCCTCACCCTCCAGATACTGCAGGTTGTTCCCTCCCTGCTATGCTAATAAGATTTACAAGGTATCTTTGCCTTTCATCATTTTTCTCCCGTTGAAACATTTATGGGCATTCATAAAGAAACACACCATTAGGGCTGAGGGGCTCTACAGTACAGTAAGAGTGGTGTTAATAAATCATGTTTAATCAAAAGAGACATCGAGACAGGGCCACAGCCCCTGCCATAGTCCAAACCCAGCAAACAACTGGAAATAACAGTGTGACATTCTGAGGTAGTCAGGCTCCTCAACAATTTATGACGTGTTGGGGAGAGGATAGGTCTACCTCTAGAGGGATACGTAGGGCTAACATACAATGAAGAAGACATAGAAGGGAGGATAAAGCTCACTCTGGCATGTGTGAAAGGTTTCAATACTGAGGAGGCGACAGGAGAAATGGAAACCATGCAGGAGATGCAGGCTGGTGTTCAGTACATCTAAAATGAATAAATGGGTGGCTTGAATGGTTGGAGTGATGAATAAGATAGATAGATGAATGTTATCAGGAATCTAAATGTTCCTTAGTTTTTAAATGACTTAAATCATTTCCACAAATGTTGCCAGTCAGTCGGTCATCTACACAAAATGTCATCTAGGTGTTGCAAACATCAGGTGTGAATGTCATGTTTTGGGGGCGAAGGGGGGGACCACTCAGAAGCTGAAAGAACATGTATCCACATTAAAAATAATTTAGCGGTGCTGTCTGTTGTGTGTTTAACAGCTTGTTTGTGCCTTCTCTGCAGATGGAGGTGGATGCAGACGATAAGCGTCATCGCACACGCTCCAAAGGTATCTGCACGGATGCCCACATGCACACACAGGCGCCAGCGCCATTCAGGGTGACCTTCACTCCCCAGCACAAGCACACACATGCACAGACAGAAGCGTGCACATGTACTGTACACACACCACTGCACAAATCCCAGACTGTCACACTTGAGTTGTCTTTTCTCACTGCTCTTTCTCCTCCTGTCTCTTTTTTTTTATATCTTGCAAAAACAGAAGTCCACGTTTTGAAAGCTTTGTTCTAACTGAAATATCTGACACAGTGACATGTAACGATGCTCAACAATGCATAGTGCAAAATGAAAACATATGGAACATGTATGTCTCAGTTTTATCTGACAAACTGATGACACTCATTTTACATAGGTCTGACATTACTTGTGATCTTTTTTCTCCTCGGATATTACACTAAATATGCCCACCTAACTTAGTCACATTAAAGCAGCAGGCTCACCTGCTGTCATCTTCCTCCCAGCCAGCTGCCATGTCCACTGACACCGGTTTTAAAGCATCTGAAAAGCGGTGCCCATCAGTGGACCCTCTTGATACATATTTTATTGCCTTGAACTTTAAAAAGCATCTACCATCTTTGACCAAGCAAGGGAAAAGGTGGTGACCATTGGCCTTACATGATTTGGATCACAAGCACTTTATCAACCATGTAGTGAAGACTATGACCACAAGGCCCTTGGCTGACTGAGTCACTGGTGTCCTTTGCTTGTCGACCAAAGAGAGAGGAAGTGTGCGAGTGGAGGCCCGGCACTGAGATCATCTTTTATAGCTGTGCCTGAAAATCACTCCACCATGTTTGACACTAGGTTTACACTAGGTGCTTTTTACTTCCTTTGTGGGAATAAAACACTAATGCAGTTCATAAATTTCACACTCAGAATTCAGAGCCTCGGATAAAATGGCACCCAGCCTACTGTACATAGAGCACTGTGTAGGTGATGAGTATTTTCAGTCACAGCCTGTGTCTCTGCTAGTTAGTTCTCAGGTGTGCACGCTCACGCTTTAGGATGCAGTGTGTAAGTCGTTTTAGGCAGTTATCATACTGAAAAATAAGAGCATATGCCAGTCAGCTTACAATTATAATGTCTAAGCACAAACTCACAATCTTCCTGTTCGGTGAAGCCCGTGATACTATGTGTGTTCCCCAGTCGCCTGAACAGACCAGTCAGGTTGACTGTACACGTGTTTAATCAGCATTAACTATTCAGCCTATCAGCATGTTGCTGTGCATGAAGAGGCTACTGGTAGTTTAATTGGTAGTTTATTTTAGACTAATATCCATGTGGAGTTCCTTCACACATCAAACACTAAAAACAGAATTAAATGCAACTTCACTGTCAGTCGGAGTGGAAAATGGTCACTTAGCTCACTAAAGCGTAAAAACCACCTAAGAACACGTAGCATAGTGAACAAATGTGGAGACAAACCACTGAACAAAACACTGAAATGTAAGACACAATGGAGCCAATTGTGACATAATAAATAATTTGTTAAAAACAATTATTGAATATTTTCATTGTTCATTTCTTTCTTAAAAATCATCCCACATTTTTCATTTTTTAATCTGCTTTGGGACTTTGTAAAATTCAAAATACAAATATGAAGTTAACATACCACTAATGTCCTGCTATTTTACTGTCTATAAGAGAAACATTTGACCTCTTTTATTCATAATTCTCTAATCCCATATGTTTTAGAAATACAAAGTGATGCAAACCTCATATTGATGTTTTTCAATTGAATGCTTCACAAAAGAAAATCTACATATTAGTGAGCTTCAAGTGTTTCACTAGTAAATTATTTCATGGTAAAATTGTGCAGATCATAAGTCACAAAGATCAGCTGCTTGTATTCAGCAGGTTTATGTGTCATAGAAAAGAGCCTGTGGATTTAGTGTACTCAGGGCAGTCCTGTTTAATAATCATCCTCTCTCTCTCTCTCTCTCTCTCTCTCTCTCTCAGTGCCTGTGGATCCAGCATTAACAGAGCTTTTCAGGTCAGTGGGATTGAAGAAGTGCACCGCCCTGTTACACAAACACACACATACAAAAGCAACACAAAGACAAATGCACATCGAGGCATAAAAAGTTCCATATCCACTGACAAACGCACACACACTTGGCCTGTTGGTGTCTTAGTGCTGAGGCAGAGATGGTCAAACACGCCGTCTCCACAGCAGTCAGAGAGCTCGTGTCTGAGAGATACCTTCACATGAGCAACCACTCCCTTTGCGCCCTGATGCCTGTTCTCTCTCTTTCTTCCTCTTTTTCCTCTTACTCCCGCTTTTCCTCTCTTCTTCTTTTCATCAGCTATGAAGATTTACTTAGGTTATATCACATGGTGTCTCCTCATTCCTCCCTTCATTCCTAGTGCAAATTTCTCACGGCCTCCCTTTCTTTCTTCGGAAGTCTTCAGTGTCACAAAAGATGATAACAGCAGAACAGAAACAACAGCACCAAATTCTTTATTCTCGTTAGTTAGTACAATTCCCCCATATAAAATATTAAATAAGAGGGTTTTCTCCTCTTTTAATGATTCAACTAGACAAGCTAAATAATTCTGTTTTTGTCTCATGTACTGGATGATATTTAGCACGATAGCCAATTATCAGTGTGTTACCCATGCAGTGCAGTTCTTTCTCTCTTTTTACGCCTACAACCTCAAAGTTCTTGTTGGGTGAGTCGAGTGGGTGGAAGGTAGAACTCAACTTCATTTTAAATTTGAAGGTTTTCTTTGTCAGTGGGAAAGTTTCTTCTCAGTATATGATTAAGAACTAGTGTCTTTTTTTTTTTTTACTGCAAATGGGTGAGAAAAGAAAAGTTAAATAAAATGCATGTTACAAGATATCTGTTTCTGTTCATTGTAAATAAGATAACACTAAATATAATTTAAGGTTTTAATTTATGCTGATAAACAAAACACACAATTAACCAAGTTCACTCTGTGATGTCAAATAGGTTGAACACTCAACTTCTTGTTTCACTAGCAGAGACCCAGCACTCAGGAAAGGATGAATGTCGAATGAATGTTTGAATTGGTGTATAATTATTCAATTCATTTGTATGGCACCAATTATTAAAAGCAGTTACATAATCTGGTCTAGACTTTACACTATTATAAGGAAAACCCAACAAATCCTCCTGAGCAGCACTTGGCAACAGTGGGGAGGAAAAACTCCCTTTAATGGAAGAAACCTTTTATGGTGGGTGGCCTTCTGCCTCGACCCGTTGGGGTGAGTGGACAGAGGAGAGAGAGAAGGAAAGTATGAGGACACAACAAACACAAAGCAACAAAGACATGGAGCAGACTCAGTGAAATGATGAACAGTGGCTGGAACAAAGAAGAAGACGTTGTGCAGTGGAGACAGCCGGGAGGATAAAGGAGGAAGTAGGCGGCGCTGAAGCAAAGCATCTCTCTGTCATGTGTTGACCTGGTGCTAGGGAAGCCCATGAGGCTGTTTTGCGGGCCTGGATGGCTGTTGAATCAGAAGGTGGCCTCTCAGAGAAAGAAAGCAAGAGGGCAAGAAGGTATAACAGTGCCAGAAAAGGAAGCAAAGTTAGCAGGCAACCCAGTGCCCATAAAACAAGAAATAACAGAACAGAATGAAAGGCAGGAAGGAGCAGCAAGTGGCCGGTGGCAGAAGAGTCATAGGAAAGGCTGGAGGAGTCTTCACGGAAGCAAAGAGCAAGTGAAGCTGACAAGGCAGCCCCAGCCTGCAGAGGATGACAGGGAAGGCCCCACAAATGGTGGAGTGGGACCGGAAGGCACAAACAGTGCCCCAAAAAGCGGTGAAGAAGACATGCTATCGGACGGGCAAAACAGCCAAACAAAACAAGGTGAGCAACCACACGGACAGCAGACAATCTTGCCTTACGAAGAAGCAGAAGACTGGTTTGAATGGGTGGTTTGAATGTAATGAGGAATGGAAGTAGTGCGTTCAAGCGTGGTCCCACTCCTGAGCTTCAGAGTAAAATCTCCATCGTGTGCTTGTGGTTCCTGCGTAGTTTTTCTGAATACTGTACATTTTTATTGACGTTTTGTTGTCAACACACCTTACTGTACCTACAGATATGAGAACTATATTATTTAGATTACTCATTTGGGGACAGTTCTCAGATACAGGACCACAGGCTGCATTAACAGGCCTTTATTCTGACTTTTTTGTCAGATCCGATCTTTTTGTGTTGGTGGTTCAGATTGATGTTAGGTGACATGTATCTGACACCAAGTGCGAACACCATCAAGCTACTAAATTGCCATGCATGTGCTGATTTAACTGAAATGTCATGTATGTACAGTACAAGAACATCAGTGATGTGATTTATGTGACTGTAAAATCTGTAAAAACATTTCTTTCACTTTGGCTTCAGAAGCTTCTCTATAAACATCCAACCCAAGGGAAGCGTCCTTGTCTCTCCCCTGAACCCTGTCACTGTTTTTGCTCTTCTGTGTATTTACTTTTACCGGTCTGTGAGGGGCCGACGCTGAATGATGATGACAGGCACACGTGCAGAGGAGTGAGACGTTCAAAAATTCACATGAATGAATCTGGCTGTCCTGACAGCAGTCACTTAGTCAGAGATTGGTTATGAATCAGATCTAGGACCACAAAAGCAAGTGGCTTGGATCTGGTGTTTGTTCATATTAAAATATCAAATTTGAGTCACTTCAACAGGTAATGTGAATGTAGCTATGTACACAAAACCAGTTTCAACAAAAATATCTTTGTTGCTATTCAGATGAGCCAGCCGAGCACTGGCCTGAGAGGAGTGCTTGGATATTCTTTGTAGCAGCTTACTGACTTCTGTTAGGTGCAGTACAGTCTCATGGGAGGATGAGGAGTGTAGCCCAAATGATCTAATTGGACTTCATTAATGTTAGCAACTCAACCTGCTTGTGCAAAATAGTTCCCGATGCAACTGTAAAGATATACTGTAACGATTTTCATTATTTTCACTATTGCAGAGTTTAATATGTTTGGGAATTCAAGGGTGAGTATTCCAGTGTCCTCTACTTGTCTTTGCAAGTTGTTTCTACTCCAGTAATGTGTGAATTTCATTTTGTCCTTGACTGTGTATAAGGGGGAGGTTGCAGCTAAGATAAGGGTTCCTGCCTACCTATATATCAATAAATAATATTCCACCTGGAAGATTGCACTGTAGCCTTTAGATGATATTCATAGATAGTACAAGGTGTACTCTCCTCTCTCTCTCCCCCTCTACTTTCACTCGTTCTCCCCTTTCCCCATTTTCTATCATTCTCACCTCCCCCCCTCACTTTCCCTCTCCCCTTCTCTCTCACTCCCTCGCTCTGCTGCTGCCTGCAGATCGTAATTAATCAGGGGATCGATGTGAAGCCTATCTCCAGGCTGAGGGATCTATAATGTCGATAATGCTGCTCTATGGCCTCTCTCTCCCTGGATAGTCTTCAAGACAAACAGGCTTCACTTTGCATGGAGCAGCCTGGGCCGGGTCAGATATGCTGTTGCTGCCGTGCTTTTGTTAATGTTTGTGTGCGTGCATGTGTCTTCTTGTATGCATCTATGTAAGGCTGCAGCACAAGCACAGAAATGGGCTTAGAATTATTGCATGAGCACTAACAAGAGTCAGGTGAGTGGCTGGGCAGACACACTGTAGGGTTTTTGTTTACTCACACACAGTGCACATAGTACGGTTGTGACCGTGAAGAGAACAAGGTAAAGAAGACTGGGTGACTGTGGGTGACCCATCACAGACTCACCTTCAGAAGGCTCAACAGGAAGTTGTGGGCCTCATTCTTCCTACATAATACCTGTTAACATTTAAAATAATTTAAAATAACATTAAGCTGGATTGTTTGGTTCTGACTAATTTTAAGAGTTTGCTTCTCTAAAAAATAGTTGTTCAGGTTAGATATGTTTAGATACAAAGCCCAACAGAATAGCGTTAATATGGTTACTATAAAAACACATTATTGAGAACTCTATCTTTACTTACTTTTTATACACCAGAATTATGGATATATGCATGTTAAAAATAAGATCAAATCAGCACATTTGAAGAACTAATTCAATTTTAGTTTGGTTTATAAGGACGGGAATCTTTGTCAAAGTCGAGATTTGATTCGGTGTCAAAAGATTTTTCACAAAGATTTTTGATTGAAAATTATTTGAGTAAATAAAATACCAAAAAGAGGGGCACTATGTTTTGTCTCTTACTGTCCATTGACCACCGATGTTAACTGGTTCTGATGAGCATCAAAACTACAAAGTAATATGTCAAGTACTTTAATTATATAAATAATATATGTAATTATAATAATATAATTATAAGGTTATTAAAGTTAGCTCCACCTTTACCAGCACAATAATACATCAGTATTTATAATCCACCAATATAAATCTGCCAATCTGCATCAGTAATTTACTTTTGGTACTTTATATTTTTGATACTAATACTTTTCTACACTGTTGTTCTGCACTTTTACTTCAGCGAGCAGTCTGAGTACTTCTTCCACCACTGGTTTTTGGTAGCTGGCCATGTGCATTGTGTGTCTTTGTCCCACCGGTTTGGCTGCTCCACTATGCTACTGTCAGTTTGTTTGGTGATAGACTATGAAGTATTCACACACTGCTCCCCACTTGTCTCTCAGAACTCATTAGCAATCCATTAACAAGGCTCAAATGATTTCATTTCTGAAGAAGAGCTAATGTTACAACACAACTCTTGTGTATGCGCGTTGTACGCGATCTGTATGCTGCACTGGCTTTATGGTTGAGTTCCATCGTTTTTTGTTCTGTCAGCATTATTACAAAAGTCGATTTTTAGCATTTGTGAATCGATTTTGAATCCTAAAAGATATGAATCATGATTCTTATGTGAATCAACTTTTTTCCCCCACCTCTATTGGCTTCTGAGCAAAAGAAATATATTCAGTTAAACATTTTTGGCTGTTCCTGACTGATGGAACCAAAAACCTGGGATGAAATTATGGACATTTTCAAGGACATGTGAAACG